CACTGTGTCGCACAGAGAATGAAATATTTAAAAGGGACAAATCATCAAAGAAAGATGACAGAGAGAGAGAGAGAGAAGCACAAGGACCATATCATAATCAAAGATGTTCTGAAAAATGGCTCAAATTACTTTCCTTTGTGCAGTGTGGCTCATTTGAGTGAGGAGAACTGAAATATCTAGAATATATGGTTTAGAATGAATAAGAGCGAGTCACTGAAACGTGTTTGTTGTGAGCTTAGATGTTGAATTTGTATGTGACTTAAGTTACTCAGTAATCACAAGAACTCTGACCCTGACAACAAGACACAGTAGTAATATGAGAGCAGCTATGGGATCTCTCCTTAGGGAATTTTCAGGATTTCAGTAAAGAAAAGCTGGTCTTAATGGGGACAAACAGGTACACTTTTACAATATGAACCAACCAGGGTCAGTAGAACCTCAGCTTACCCTTAAATTACCCTGTAGAAACCACCTAACATGACCAAAAAAATCATCAAAATCCTTGCCAATAGGATGGAAAATCCCCAAGCCAAAAGGAATGTCAATGAAATCAATCAGCCAAAATATAGTTTAACAAGGAATTTTATAAATATTCGGTCTAGTCTGTATTATACATTACACCACCATGCCATTTTCAACAGGTGTTAGCTAAGAAAGAGTTGTATTGTGATTTAATAGACCATAACATAGGTTAAAGTAAAACATGTATATCTTGACATGTTATCTGATTATACTGACTGACAGACATGTAGTCAGACAGACAGATAGATAGATAGATAGATAGATAGATAGATAGATAGATTCTAACGCTGAAAGGAGAAGACAGGACTATGACATCACAGGCGCGAGAGCGACGGCGCGCCTCGTGAATTATGATGTCATAAAGGAGCATCAGCTGAAACAATAGCAGATGACCGCGGCCTGTTTTCGCCTTTGAGCGTCATGATAAAACCAAGTTCTGCGGACGTGAATGAGGATAGGAGCTATGACAGGCTCGAGGGGTGAGTGTTGACGGCTGAATGTACTGACCCAGTCCGCTGAGGTCCTGTCTGACGCTCAGGCGGTTCCGCTCGTCCGCGATTGCCTTCAGCATGTGCTGCAGGGACTGGTCCGGTTCGACGGGTTCATCGCTCTGACCCGATAGAGCTGCCATAATGCGCACGGATGTCATGACACGATCTCACCGCTCATCTCACAGACCGCCGTACATGACACAAGCCGAGCACAACAACACAAGCTTTCTGCACTTCCGTCAGCGGCGACGCGTCGCGTCGGGAACACCCCATGCTCGGCCTGTGATGTCACGCCGTAGGCGTCACTTCTTCTTCTTCTTCTTCTTGGTTTTTAACGGCGGCTGGCACCAACGCAAATAGGTGCATCGCCAGTAGGTGGCGGTAAGTCACTGTCTTAATGCGTGAGTCATCGAGTCATTTGTTCATTCAGTAAGTAAGCAAGTGGCTGTATTTATAAATGAATCATTGAATCAATTACTTTTGCGAACGATTCGTTCACGAAACGCCTCAAAACTCAGCATTTTGTTCGCGTACCCCCTCTGTCGCCTCACGTACCCAAGTTTGGGAAGCACTGTTCTTCAGTAAATATTTAGGAACGAACGGTCTGTTACCTAGCAACAGTGTATGTTAACGTTAGCTCAGTCAACGTAGGCTAACATTAACAGGTGTAGACAGAAAATATGATTATTCTGACCTGAGCTAATTTACTGAATCAACCAACTCACATCTCCTTTCTTTCTTTTCTTAACAACTGGTCTTATGTAACTAATCTTACATAACATAAA